TATCTATATCAAAAATAAAATTTATCTATTAGTTCATATGTTCTCAAACATTATAAAAACGATGTATTTACCAAGAAATTGTGTTTTTGATTCGCATCATGTAAAAAAAATGATTAAAAAGCAACGATGATCACAATAACTTGAATAAAATTAATTTCTCATGTAATTAGGGATGATAATGAGGCCCTATGGAGGCGGGTAATAGTAAATTCGTCCCCACCCCACTGGATGAAAATTGGCCTCATATCAGTCTCATACGCGCGCGGGTATCCATGAATTTCTTTGAATATCCGTGGATATTATAAATTTTTTAAGAAATTAAAAAAATTATATTATAAATAGTTTTAAATTTATATTTAATGTCATTGAAACATTAAAAATAAAAATTTTATGTTAATTTTGAACTTGTAATTAACGTTAATTTTGTTGAAATAATAATTAAAAAGTAAGATAATCAATAACTTAAAATACATTAATCTCACAAGTAAGTGAAAGTTTCATATCAAAATGTTACAATAATTCAATCTCATAATGTGTGATGACTAATGTGTGGGCTGTGCTGCTATGGAAAAAAATAAGATGAGAGAGTGTAGTTTTAGGATTATGTGGTACAAAGATAATTAAGATATTTAAGAAATGTTATTAAACGGGTACCCGCAGATATGGATACCATTATATCCGCCCCCGCCCCGTTTATAAACAGGTAAAAAAATTATTCATCCCCATTATCCGCGGGTACCCAATTAGCCTACCCATTTATTATTCGTAGCGAATTTTACCCACAAATACTCGCGAGTGAGAATATTGCGGTAAGAAAAAAAATACCTACTACACCCACTATTTGCTTAACGACTATACTTTTGCAAACTTTTATATCTAATTAATTATATTAAATTGTTAAAAGATAAAAATATTATTAAAAAAACAAATTTAACAGACAAGCACATAGTTCCTGATTTTGTATTATATCTATACTATTAATAAAAAGGAATATTTTATTTGGTGTTGACATTTTTGGACAGTTTTATTTTTATCTTTTTAAAATTTTATTTTATAATTGTCTTTATTTTTAATAATCATCTATTATTATACATTTTTTTTTTATTATTTATTATCTTTAAAAATAATTTAGATATATGAAATGTATTTTGTACGCCAGTATCAATAATTTGGATGCCTTTTTCTTGTTGAGTTTTTATTTTTTATTTTAAAGCATAACAGTTGGCCAATGGCCTACCTTCAATTTATTTTCTTTCAGTTTTGTATTTTTATTAACTAATCATTCATGTCCGTTAAACCTTAAGTGTGTTGTTTTATTGGTTTCTTTAAGTAAAAGCTGATATTTTTGCTGTTCCTCAAAGTGGAGATTTTCATTTTCATTTTTGCAAGGTGTTTTATTGTCGGTTTTCATGTATTTAAGTTAATATTAATGTTTTTATAATAAATTTGAGCAAATAACTTTATTAAGTGTTTATTTATGTATAAGATATATATATAATAAAATAAAGAATTAGGTTAATATGTTTTTATGTAAGTTTTACGTTGTTTTAATAAATTATTATGAAATAAATTTTAACTAATAGTTTTTTTTACGTACTATCACATTTCAATTTATTTTTGATAAACTTTTCTAAATATTTGCAAAAAAATTTATATCGTCGAATAAATTTAAAAGTAAATTGTAAATAAACTCCTTTTTTTTTAGAGAATGTAAATAAACTCTTATGAACATATATCCTTATACAATAGAGTTTAATATCTATTTTGAAAGAATAGTTAATTAATATCTCAACAACATGGAGTGTAGTTGATAAATAAAATAACATAATAAGAAATTTAATTCCGAATTTTATATGTATAAGAAGAATAATAGTTTGGTTCAAAAAGAAAAGGTGATTGAAAATTAATTTCTTTCATAAATCTCCTTACTTCAAAAGACTAATATGTGAGATTTACCCAAACATACCCTACATATCTTTAAGAGAAAAAAAAATTCATTTAGAATCTGCATAAATATAAATTTAAAAGTATTTTTAAAATATTTTCTATCAAAAAATAATATTTATTTTCAGTAGAAAAATCTTAAGAAACGCTTCTATTTTATATTCAAATATTGTCTTAATTCATTCTTCCAAGACTATTCTTAGGAATTTGAGAAGTTATGACAATTTTTTTAAATACTTGTCATAATTATTAACTACAATATGTTTGGTTTCATATTAAAAAATTATTTAAATAAAATTTTAATAATAAAAATTGACTATATACAATGTATCAAAAATATTAAATAGGAGAATTTTTTATTCATTAATTTTTAAATAAAAATACAAAATTTTATAATGTACAGTATATATGTTCGTTATGCCTACCTTCAATTATTTTAAAAAATAAATTAAATATAAAATATATATTAACATATACTTGAGACATAAGAAAACTGTCTTGATGACCTTATTATTTACGCAACCTTGTACACTTTAAAGACAACAATTTTCACGTTATATATATATATATTTAATATTCAAGAGCATAATCTATAAAATATTCTAAAATTAATAATTAAAAATTAATTTTTACTTATGAGACTTCACTAATTAAAATTTAATTTAATATTGTAATAATTAATCTTAAAAACATTGAACCCCTATATTTTAAGAAAGACTTTACAATATTATTTTCAACAAAAACAAAATTTTCATTAAAACTACTATAAATTGTTACACCCCTATTGAGAAAAATCCAAGTCCCACATCGACTAGAGATTAGGCAATTGAATAATATATAAGTGGAAAGCAACCCTCACCTTACAAGCCGGTTTTGTAGGGTTTAGTTAGGCTTAATCCACTATTCTAACATGGTATCAGAGCCATTTAGATCCACTTTAAAAATGGGTCACCCACCATTGATGCATGCCTCATAGGCATGAGGGGTATTGTGAAAAATCCAAATCCCGCCTATCCTAGATCATTAAAAAGGGTCACCTACCATTTATCCACGTGTATTGGGAAAAACTCAAGTCCCACATCGACTAGAGATTAGGCAATTGAATAGTATATAAGTGGAAAACAACCCCTCACCTTACAAGCTGGTTTTGTAGAGTTGAGTTAGGCTTAATCCACTATTCTAACATGGTATCAGAGCCATTTAGATCCATGTATTGAAAAAAACCCAAGTCCCGCCAATCCTAGATCATTAAAAAGGACCACCCACCATTTATCCACGTACCAAGCCCATATGCGGTCATTTTTACTTTACAAGTGGCAGACGAATTTTGTTAATAATGAATTTTCTCTCTCACAGGAAACTGACATATTTTAGATGTATAACATGACATGAAACATGATATGTTGGAAATAAGATATTGCATAGTTAGCACGCATGCAGTGTATTGTCGTATTGTTTGACCCCAAAATTAACTAGAACAAGGTATTATATTAAAAAAAAATTATATAATTTAAGATTATCACTTATTTATAATTATAGTCAATCATTATATGATATATATATATATATATATATATATTTAAAATTTTAACTTTAAAAAATTAATAATACTTAATAGATTACCAAATAATTTATGATATGATATGGTCAATAAGCCTTCAAAGATGATCACGTCGTTGATTTACGTGTTTTCAGCCATTAATTCGTACCCGCGCGGTGCATCATGCCAATATGGCAGGAGACTAGACAATGAATCAATGATATTATATGAATAAATGAATTGACCAAAAAAGACAGGGATCATACAGATAATAATTGTTAAAATAAAATAAAAAATCATGATGAACCGAAAAATCAGGGTGCCCAAATTGCAGAATAAAATTACTCGTCTTTTTCTTTTTGGTACATCAAAATTACTTGTCTTTAATTCTCCACTTAATTAGTTTTTATTTCTCGAATAGAAACATATCACATTATAGAAAAGTAACTTCTCTCTCGATTATTATATCCATTCATGTTTATCTGTCGAGTTAGTAAAGAAAAAAATAGATAAAATTTAAGTAAATTTCATATATATTTTGGTATCATCTACAATAGTCGATATTGTCCAACTTAAATATAGATGAAATTTTTTCCTTTAAATATATAGTCTAAAATTAAAACTTGGGTTGAGATCATGATTAAGTCAGAAACAATCTCACATTTAGTAATCTAATTAAAATTTCCTATTCATAATTCATATAATAATATAGTTAGGTATTAAATATCTACATGGTAAAATTTAATTAGAAAAAAATACTAAAAATATTTACAATACAACCAATTTTATATTATAAGAGTTGATATAGTAATAAAGAGTTGAAATAGTAGAATATTTAAGCTCATGAATTATAATTATAGTACAACTATTACACACACAAAAAAGGAAAACATTACCATTCTATGAATTTATTTTCTTTCTATTTATATGTTTGTTAGACATTAGGGGTGTTCATGGATCGGTTTTTTCAAAAAATCGATCCAAACTGAACCGAACTGTTTTATAAAAGTGGATCGGTTAATCGATCCATTTTTTATAAAGTGGATCGGTTTGGTTTTTTTAAAATATGGATCGGTTTTTTTGAAATTGGATCGGTTCGGTGCGGTGCAGTTATATACTTTTTTACTCATATATGGATCGGTTTTTTTAGAAAACTAAACCGAACCGAACCGATCCACTTTGTAAAAATGGATCGGATAACTGAACTGGTTTTATAAAGTGGTTCGGTTTGGATTTTTTTTCAAAATGGATCGGATTTTTCAATATGGATCGGATCGGTTATGGATCAGTTCGGATCAATTTGGATTTTTTGCACACCCCTATTAGACATTTAAGATTATAATTTTCTCAATTGTGTCTCTCAAAGCAATAAAGAATATTACATTACATATCATTAAAGAGATATATAATAGTAAAATATACAAAAAGTATAACACAGTTCAAAAACAATTTCCAGAAAGAATACTAATTATATTTTGTAATCTATTTATTTGTATACTGCTAAAAGAACATGGACTGGCAAAAGAAAAAGAAAGAGAAGTATTATTAACTTTGACCTCAAGTATTATTTTTGAATTGGAGTGAAAAAAGGAACAAGAAAACAAGAGAAATGATTTGGCAGCATACACATGTGTATACACTTGCATGCAGTGCTGAGAATCCACTTGAGAGACAAAACAAAACTACGATCCCCTCGCGTTCCCTTCATCAAAAAAACCAAAGGCTCCAACCCCACGTTGACCCTCATTCTCTGAATTTGACGAAGCCATCGCCGAAGAAGACGCATATTCAGGCACAAAAAACGGCACTTGATGCTGCTGCTGCTGCTGGTAGAGCCCCGATGCAACACGCTGGATATCATCATCGTTTCTGCAACACAGCAACTGCGCATACTCCATCAGATTCGGAAACCCTTCTGATGCAAGAGATTTGTTAGTGTTTTGCATGCCTTGTGGAAGAGGGTTATTAGATGCTGAAGTATTGTTGTTGTTGTCGTTATTATTATCATTGGTTGATGGTGATGATATTGGTAGAGTAACGCGTTCGGGGAAATTGAGTTTGGCTTTGTTGCCTTTGAACCTCAGGGCTGCAGCATCATAAGCAGATGCTGCAGCTTCTGCTGTGTCAAAGGTGCCAAGCCAAACTCTTGCTGCTTTTTTAGGGTCTCTTATTTCAGCTGCCCATTTGCCCCATGGTCTTTGCCTCACTCCTCTATAGTGCTTTTTCCTGATATCATTCACTACACAATTCCAAAAAGTTCATGTTTCTTGTTAGCTTAGGAACAACATTTTAGTAGTTGATGCATACAAACAACAAAAATATGGAACAATGAAGGCATATGTGTTTGTGTTTTTATTAGAATTGAAGTTTTATTTTGGATAACTTATGCAATGGATCGATATTTAAATGTATATTAATTTTTCAATATAGATCACAAGTATCATCTACTACAAATAATTTTGTTCAAACAGGTAAGAAGACTACTATGAATGATATTTACAATTTTTGAACTTGAAATTATTAATTAAACTAGAACCGGTGATTTCATATCAATTGATCAATATATTCTTAATGCTATATTCCGATCAAAATTTGAGTTTTAACACAATTAAATATTCAAAATTCAAATTTAAGATCACTAATTAAGCTGAAGCAATATATATTAATTGATTATGTGTTCTTCATTGCTTAATTTAAATATTGATTATTGAGATGAAACTTAAATTTTGATAGAAGAATAACATGAGAAAAAAAAGCTAATAAAGAGGATGCAGGTATTGCATACCCAACATTTATTGTTGTATAGAGAAAGTGGACAAATGCAATGCGAAGTTGAATACCCAACATTTATTGTTGTATAGTCAACTATACAACAATGTAGACCCAAAAAAATAAAATTGAGATGTGGTACACGAGAGCCAATAATGAAAATAGTGAGGGTAGAAAATGGAAATCAATGAGTCAATTTCAACTCTCGGGCTATTGGCAGATCGAGAATTCGAGATGGTTGTGCATATATATGCACCAACAAGTGCAGATTTTTTTTTTTTTTTTTTGGAAAACAACAAAATATATATACAGAAACTAACTTTTTGCTAACTGCTTTCTTTTTTCTTTTTTTTTTCCTTTACTTTTGAGTGAGAAGAAGTATCACGTAAGTTGCACTCGGATTATTGGTGAAAATATCTTTGGATATATGTTAGAAAACAACACGGTTGGCTAATTAATCTTTATCAGTACACCTAAGTAGACTGTATTTGAATTTCAAAAATGAATAAAATTAAATTCATGAGGTATGGGTCGATCAGCAGATTCAAGATGTATAATTGAGAGGACTATATAAGAACATCAAAGATAATAGGATGATGATGTGAGTGATATGATATTAATAAATAAAAAACCTGGTAATAATAGTTACCTTGTTGTGTAGCTTGAGATGGAACCTGGCTATTGATAAATTGAGAATTGGTTATTTGGCCATGTGGGGTGGGGAAGATGGTGCTGCTTTCGTTGTTGGTACTCATAATAAGGTGTGAAAAGGGTGATGATGAAGCTTGTTCCTTTGGATTTTGAGATGATGGTGTTGAATGAATAGGAAAGATGAAAACTTCTTTTTTCTCCTCATCAGGAGGAAGAGACCTCTTCCCTTGCCTTCGATCCACTTTGCTCACTAACTCAAATTGCTTCTTCCACTCCTGTATTTATACACCCTCTTGATGAGTTTCCACCAACAACACCCTTGTTAAAAGCAGATCTAAGATTTCTATAAAGGGAGGACCAGTGATTTGATGATGTATCAAACCGAGATCAAAAGAAGGGATTCGTTTTGCTTGCTTCATCTTTTAAATAAGAAAAGAAAAAAAAAAAAACATAATGAAAGAAAAGAACAAGATAACATGGGCTTGCTTGTAGGTTTTCCCATTGCTCCGTGATAAAGTCATGTTTGCCCTTGGAATTTTATGGGGGTGCCCAAAAAAAATGAAAAGGAAATGAATTTTTAAATGGCTAGTTTATAATTGGGCACAACAAAGGATATAGCATACTTTAATTGGGGACAACCCAGTTAGGATCTTTGTGCTGCGAGTTACTTTCTTGGTATTCTATTTTGTTAGGATTGTATTGGATATACTTACTTAATTACTTATTTAGAGCGCAGAAAGAGGTGTGGGGTACAATATAACATATACATTGAATTTGGATCATTTTTTTTTTCTGGACACTTCTACTTTCTGGCCTCAATTGTTTTTGTGTCGTTTGCATCAATTTAGATAAAATCATAAATATTTCATACGATTATTTCTACATACAGAAATATAAAATATATATTTAATATTTTAGAAAAATTTAAATAATAATTTAATTTAATTTATAATATTTTGAAATAAACATTGCTACAATATTATTTTGAAATGATGTGAAATTATTTCGTCATACTTAATTTTGGCTTTTAACATTACCTAGTATTTTAACATTTCAATATTAACTAGTATTTTAACATGGTGTAATATATAAAAAGATGTTTATTTTATATAATTAGAATTTATAATAAATATTTTGAACACGTCATTCTATTTTAAATTTATGATAAATAATTTATAATTGTGATATAATGTTATATATTGTGATATAATGTTAATTTTAATCATTGATATTTTTAAAATATTAAAATCTAATTTAAAAATAAGAATAAAAGGTTAAATTTAAAAGACATAAGTGGTTAAAAAATTTTCTAAATACACTCTT